GGAGAAGAAGATGAGCCACTATGGTCAACACACAGAGTATGCAATCGAACTCCGCATACATACCGTTTCAAACATTCTGACCTGATAAGAAACGACAATAAGGACGCCACTGCTGCCGGTTCGCTGCCATATCCTTTAATGTCTCCAACGAACCAGTTGTGGAGTCTTTCGGACCCCAACCTGGAAAGCGAGAGACACCTACTCTACCTAATGGTTCTGTGCATTTCTTCATGCCTCGTTTCCACGTCATCTGTTGACCTCCGCGTGCTACACCGAATAAAACGCGGTGCGGTAGACGATGGCTGGGCATACGCAATACGTGCCCTAGCCACCGAAGCCTAGTAATCTAAATTCTGGTAGTCAAGTGGATACTTTGGATGTGTTCCGTCCCTCAGGTTTCAGAAATGATCTGGGGTCAAATCGATTGGTACGTACTACCAAAATTATTCAAAATAATTTTGCTCCCCGATTTTTCAGGTCAGGTCTCGTTTGTTCATTACCCCAGAGTTATCTTATGGATTAGACGTCGGATGCTGGCCACAGTGGAAGCACGTACAACTTGTGCGTACTTTGAGATCCCATGACCCTCTAACCTCGCAATCTTCACATGCCCGTCCCAATCTTCCTCACACCCGTACTAGATATCATGCTGGAAACAATGGATCTTGCATTAGCCTGAGCAACCTAGTAGCATTACGCCCACAAGCAAATCACGGACCTCTTTTCTTTCATAAATATTGCACTGTGAATTGTTTGACACAATCTGTACTCAGACGGGTGTGAAAAAATGAAAGTACAAATATATTTTTCCAGTTGATTATTTTTTCTCTTAGGTGCTATCACCGACCGACCCTCCTTTTCTACCCGATTTTTATAGAAGTTGATGTATCAGACAAAGAAAATGAATCACTGAGAACAAGTCTTTCTCACTACATTGTTTTCTACTGTGTTCAACATGTGTTAGTGATCTAACGGGACGATTCGAACGGCTTTCTGTCTCTGTGCTACACTGCACGCCTCGTTAATGTTTTACGTGGTTCCTCAATTCAGGTCAGTGGTTCATCAGACTNCATCAGACTCAAGCAGCGAGATTCCTCCAGTCCATTGCCTGCTTATCACACCAGAATATGCATTGAAATAAATTGTGAACCTTTTGGTCGGATCATGAAAGACGACTTTTAGGTATTTATGTGTTCGCGTTCAGTATATTGCTTCGCTTACTTACACTGCGGGATGCAATGAAAAAATTAGCTATCATTCGCAAAACTATTTTCAGTCAATCTGTTGCCAACTGTTCCAGTGAAACAACTCTGCACTGTTAGGTTTCATTCAGGGTTTGGGGGTAACTTATTATATAATTGAACTGAATTCGTTTATTTTTTCTGTGATATATAAGCAAGTAGTAAATTATCTTCGCGTAATTTGTTATTTGCCCCACAGTTTCCAATCCCAAATCAAGCATCATCCCGGGCGAACATCTCTCGGATCCATCTAACACCCCACTCGTTCAACCAGAGACGGAAAACTCAGAAGATCACATCCATAACAAAGATTTTCCCAATGTTGACAGTCCTTCAGAGGTATGTAACACCAAAGCCTGATATCCATAACTTTCGTTGATTTAATATGGTTGCAATTAAAGAGCTAAACAACAAAGACCAAAATTAGCTAGACCTTGGTCTCGTCTGAACCAATGAGAATCTTGACGAGTGATCTTACTCATGTAGTTCTTGTCAGGCTTTACGGTTGGTGACCTCGAAACTAGTCTAGTCAGTCTCTAGGGCTATTGAGTGATATGCTCGAGTGTAGTAAACAGTTCAGTTTAGCAGTGGATTAATTTTCGTACTTAGGTAGTTGTGTGACCAATGACAGAAGTGCAGCAAAGGAGATAGCCACTCGCACTTCCAAGGCTCGAGCAGCATACGCAGGACTGAAATACCTTTGGCATAGACTCGACGTTTCACTGAAGTTGAACAGTTGTGTGTATATTTTGCCACCGTTCGTTCAGTTCTGTTTTATGGTTGTGAGACCTTGAATTTACGAGTAAAAAATATGGATCGACTAGGGGTTTTTGACAATCGGTGTTTACGTAGTTAAGCCCAGGTGAGATAAATGGAGATTATGGTTCTTTGAAATAGTCGTAATCTTTACCTTTTACTCAGGAATATGAAACCATGAGAATAAGACATAGGTTGAGTGATTAGAGAGGCGGACGCCAAAGCATGTTAAGGTACAGTTTAACTGGCCCCGACAAAATTCGACTTAGTCTGATCCAGCTCCCAAAATAATTGGAAAAACAACAGTGGTATCTGGCGTCGTCGCGTTATTCGGTTGTTCGTAAAGGGTGAAGTGTATACTGTAGCTCTCTGGTTGGTGCTCTTCTATGGTGCAGAAACATGAAACATGTGGGAACAGAAAAAAGACTGACTATCGGTGTTCGAACACCGCTGTCTGCGTCGGATTGTTTGTGCTCAGTTGGGCAAACAAACAAATAATGTCGAATTAGACGCAGTGATCTAGATAATAATGGTATCCTACTACAGCTGCCTCTGCGTGCGATATTTACTGAAACAGGCAATGAATGGAAGCAATCCAGGGATGGTCAAACGGAGACCTGGTATGACTGCATCGAAATTCCGACCAAGGGACCTGAAAATGTAGGTCGCATTAGTTCCCCTGGTCGATGATCTCAGGATCAGTCGCACAGACTGTCAAACAGCAATATGGGCGGGTATCATCAACAGTACATCTCAGTTTCTTCGAGAATTCAGTTTAATAGCATTCATTTTTTTCTTCTCTAATCCGAACCGAATCGAATCACGACTGTAGCCCGATAGTTGACGAATGTTGGCAATCAGGTACTCCAAGTTCCATGATCCCTAGTCGAATCCCACAACGCAAATATCTTAAAACAGATGTCCCGGATTACTGTGACTATTATTGTGTTATTGTCATGCAAAAAATAACAAGCCGAAATTTCCCATTTCCCATTTTCACTAGGTTACTGCTCCAAAAGAACTGACGAACACAACGGAGGAAAATCGAGTTCAGGAGCAACCCCCGACAACCAACCCACCTGTCCAGTCAGATTTGAACACTGGTAAGTATGTGTTTATTGCTTCTGTGGTGTTGGGTCCCCTTAGCAGTGAGTGATTCGTTTGCTGCACCAGTTCACTGCTTTGTTTGACCAACATTTTTAATAATGAAATACTCATGTTTTTTCCCTTCATTTTGACTCCTTTTTATTGAATATAAAACGATACGATTTGCAGGAAGAGAGAAGCGGCCAATCAAAGGACTGTCAAACAACAGACAGAGGAAGGTCAGGCTGTGGTGGTCGAATTTGAACACGCGTCATCCGGGTCGATAATCTGCTAACCTTTACCACCACCGATCAGGTTTTCGTTAATTGATGAAACTCCCTCAGATTTTTGGGTCATTAAGCACAACCATAGTCTGGTTTGAATGATCAAATAGTATGACAGTCCACAACACGACTATAAGGAATACAAGCTCCCTGTAGCCACCTTCGTCTCAGTTTTTACCATGTGCAGTATTGGTGGTGGTGGCGCAGTGGTTAAGTCGCTGTCACCGGCGTGTTTTGGATCCTATGGTCCGAGGTTCGAGCCCCGCCACTGCCACTCGACTTCGGTGGTGGGCAGCTCTGCCGTCGTCCGGTTCAATACCACGCCTAACCTATCGTGGCCTTATGTGGTTCGCCACTCCAAGTTCCGGGGCTTAGGTTGCCGGTTTTCACCACTGAGCTGCAGGTCCTCGTGACTATGGGGTTTACCCCCTCTGCTGTTCATCACACCTAGGTGTGTAATTTAAAAAAAATTGGCGCCATGGTATGCATGGCCTTGGGGTCTGATAAATGCTGAACACTGTTTGCATCCTGTCCATTTGGAGCTTTAGCGGATCACTTGTTTCAGGTCAATCATTCAGTGACATGTCGGTTGTCGCTGTTCACGCGGGGTTTCGAATCCTATCCCCATCAAATGAATCTCGTGGGGCTGCTGCTCTGTTTGTTTGGTGTTGTCTTTTAGAAAGTTCTTCACCCGGACAACCGTGGGAAAGATAGATTTTTCTTTTAGTTCACTCTTAGCCATCGAATATCTTTTTCATATACTGGTCAGTGAAAGTTCAATGCAATTAGTGTTCACTGAGCTTATGATTTGAAAAATCAATAGACAAAATATGGGAACTAAGGTAATAAATGATGTCAAGAGGTGTTGTGGTACTTACGAGACCTAACTCGCGACAGTTGACATCGTCGATTAGAAACATCGTACGTCCTATTCGGTGCAGGTTGTTTCAAGTCTTCACATTAAGCCCTGGACTAAGACCTCAAGGTTCTTCCTATCAATGGTAAACGCACGCCGGATAAATTTATCGAGATGCTTGCGTAGCTTAATTATAATGTGAATAGCCCAACCGATATCTATTTGAGCTTGTCCGAAGATGAAAGCTGCCTCTTTTTTCTGCGAGGAGTTGCGATTTCTGGTGTTTAGAGCGAAAGGTAGTGTCCTTGGTCCCGAGCCTTAAAGTTTTGAATCTAGGCCTCGGTGGAACACGTGGGATTGTGGGCTGGGCGATAGCAACGCTGTCTACCATTGTCTGCTGTTTTGCATCATACCTAGGCAAACAATTAGCCGATTAGGAATAACACAACTTTTATTGAAATATTCATTTTGGAATTAGCCACGAGCTCGCAGTATTGAAAACCCTTCCCTGGAAAAGTTCTCTGTCAGTTCATATGCTGTCAAAGACTATCCATTAAACTACGAGGATTACGAGAAAAAGTCGACGCAGAAACCACTCTGCGATTCGTTTGGGTCACTGATTTGATTCCTTTATACTCTTCGAAACTCAACAGGTTTCTGTCAGATTGGTTAGGTAACTGCATGAGCAACGGTGAACATCGATAGTGTGTATTCGTCTGCTAGAGCCAGCCAACCGTATTCATGCATTCGACAGCTTGCACAGTAATTTATTTGGAACGTCGTCTTAGTTGTTGCCAGATAGAATGAGAGATCATGGGTTAAGTCAACTGTTGCGACTCAAAAAAGGTAAAGGTATGCAAGTCAATTTTTTGTTTGTTTTGGAAAGTATATTCGTCGTACAGTAGTGTCAATATGTCACTCACTCCTGGAACGCCTTCCGTGACGAGTGACATGAAAACTACACTTTTGTAAACAGATGTTTTTTTTGACCAAGACCCTACTGTTTAATCACTCATTTCATTCAATACCCCTCTCGTTCTTTGTCTTTACGTATAGACGCATCGGTGACACAACCTCAACCATATGGTTTACCTGCCGTGCATGATCTCCTGCACTATCTGATCAGTTTGCTCACACCCGAACGTAACAGTGACGGTATCATTTCCGTGTCATTGGGTCTGGTCACAATAGCGTTAGAAACTGGCGCGGACGCGATTTCACATTGTCCTAGTCTTTTGCAACTGGTCCAAGGAGATTTGGCCAAACATCTGCTACTGGTAAGTACATGTGGTTGTTCATTCTGACTCACTATTATAGACCCTGTTCCCAAATGTGGTGGTTTGATGAATTCGGAAGTGTCTGGTTCTCTGTGGTTGTGTGATGTAACGCGGAAGGAATCGTTTTCCGCAGGTCTTCTGGGGTTCAAATAAAGTTGAACCTAGTGGCACTTTTACAATCTGCTTCATCGCGAAAATGGTTGTGTTCTCCTTCGTCTTTATGTAGCGCCTAGTGACTGGGGACTACTTCCCTTTTGTTTCGTCGATACGTCAAATCAAAGGAACTGCTTTATGTACCACCCCGAGGGGTAGATATTCAGTACTGGTTACTTTTACTGAGCCACAGACCAACACCACACGGACAGCCGAAAGACAGTAGCGGAAACTAGCATACGAGAATGCAACGTTACCGGTTGTCCAAACTAAAAGTGAACGATCTCATCTTTATGATGTACGTCCATCACGACGAGACTGCACCTTGACGGGGTGTGATGGTCTGTGTGCCTCTATGACCCTGCGAGCTATACAGGATGCCCCTCACAGCCGCGGATCCAATCATACCTGAAAGGTTAATGGATAGAGGACAGACGAAGAATAGTCTCACGAGGCCAGCTGTTTGGGCACCTGGCTTCCTTTGGCTATCCACTCCCGCCCCTGGAGAAGTCCCTCCAACAAAACAACAGGGGAAAGAGCAGTTTACCGGTCAAAAATAAACCCCGCTAGGTGGGCGTAGTTTTCAAGTATATTGGCTCTACTATAAGACCAAACGGCCAGGCTAAAATGAAATCCAGCTCCGTGTAGATGGGGCTAGAAGAGCCTTTGTGAAACTCCTCAAACCGTTTGGAATCGATGCGACATAGGCTTCGGGTTTATCCGGGTTCCATCCGCCCCATCCTCACTTATGGTTATGAAACCTAGCCGCTAAGAGTACAAGATACAAGGAAGCTCGAAGTCCCTGATCACTGGTGCTTACGCCACATTTTGAAAGTAAATTGGAGAGATCGGATTTCCAATGATGAGGTTCGCTGACGCTGCTTGAATATTGACAAGCTTTCGAAAATGCTACAACGCCGGCGCCTTCAGTGGTTTGGCCATGTGCTCCGAAGGCTCGATATTCAACTCGCGACAGGTTGTAGCCCCCGCACCGTGCCGTGGATGGCGTTGCTGACTTGCTGGTCAACTGAAGATCTTAATCAAGGCGGATGTAAAATTACAGGGCCTCCAATCCGTATATGAAATTCGTAAC